CAGCCCACACGTAGATACGGTTTTAGCAACCTCACTCAATGATGGATTCTCCAATAGTTAGAGTAGCACTTTTAGTTTTCTGTAGCTGCGCCTTCGTCTCAATGAGCATAAACTCAGCCTTGAAATCATTGATCGCGAGTTTGTCATTGATCGTCTAGCTGCGGATATCACAGAGGCACACTTCCATATTTTAAAATATAACAATGATAAACATAAATCGGACATACCTTCACAGTCTGATTCCTAGTAAGAGCCTCTGATGCACTGTATATCCTAGTACCAAGACAAGCTGTCATGGTTCGCTGCACAAACTTGGCTGTGCCATAATCCAATTTGGTTATAACAACTCAGTTGAAATGTGTAAATTGGCCACCGTAACGAATAAAAAAGCTGACGTTTCGAGCGTTGGCCCTTCGTCATGCTCGCCTGAGCATCAATATCTGCATTTCGTTCGATTAACAGTTTTATAATATCAGGTTGACCTTCAATAGCTGCGGCTAACAGCGGTGTACAACCCTGAACAACTTCATTTTCAAGTTTACACGAGCCTCGAGCCTCGATGTCTGCATTTCTTCTAATTGAAAGTTGTACAAGATCGTTATTACCTGAAGAAACAGCGACCAACAAAGCTGTAAAACCCTCGTAAACTGAACTAGCATCGTTGCTCCTAAAAGTTCCTTGAGCTTTAATGTCTGCACCTAGGTCGATTAACAGTTGCACAACACCATGATTGCCTGTATCAGTAGCCAGCCAGAGAGGTGTCCAACCCTCGAAAACCTCGTCTCCGTGGATCTTTTTCGTCGCTCAAGCTTCAATTTCCGTGTTTCGTGCGATTAAAAGTTTCACAACATCAAGACGACCAGAAACAGCAGCGGACGACAAAGGTGTCAAACCCTCCCAAATTTCGTCTCCAGTCTTTCGAGTTGCTGGCGCTTCAATGTTTGAATTTTGTTCTATTAACAGTTTCACAAGTCAAGATGACCTGCAATAGGGAGCTTAAGCAACCACGACGACGAACGGAGGACGACGACCGGAAGTAGCGAGAACGTCGCTGCGCAAGCGCGAACCATGAATTCAGTCGTCGTCTTATCGTCGACGACTTGAGAAGGACCTGTTTCACGTCGTCGTGAACTTCTGAACTTCAAAGCAGTTTTTCTCATCAAAAGATGCGGCTTTATAGTCGTTTTTTTGACAGTCTATGGCCGGTTAGAGTTTGTATTCGCTTCTTCGGTTGATTTAAACCTCCCTGTTCAGTTTTCTACACAAATAAAATTCGAAAACCCACTAACTCATTTTCCATCCTCTGCAAAACAGATGTCAAGTCAAGCGGTGAAAGCGACCACGTTAGGTTTAAATTTATTTGAGTATATTTTATGAAAGAGTGCTGTTTATCATTTTTATTGAATGAAAAGGTTTAAATGGCAGTGCAATACACCTCTGCGTTCGGTCAAAAGCTGTGTGTATGGAACTGCCGGTTTATTGCTACTAAAACATTTTGTGTGTTGCTGTTCTTCCGTCGAGACGCTTTAAACAGCAAAGAATTCTTCAGATCGGTGTGTCAACATGAGCNTTAAATCTCAAATAACTTGCGTAAAATTTAATATTTTAAACTTTTGCCATGTGTAAATTATTGTAAATAAAGCTAAAGCTTTATAATTCCTTGGACTGTTGATGTTCAAGAATTGAATAACCTACTCTCGAACTTTCGATATATGGGTGGAAATTTGATCCATGACTATGTCATTTCTTAAACTGACTAAGCGAGAATAAACAAGATTTTAGATGTCGTCGTCCTTGAGCAACTTCACTGCTTAAGTTTCATTTTCCCGCTAAAAATGACGTCCTCGTTCCAGACCCTCCGTGATTACTTGACGTCGTCGTCGTCCCTTTCGTCGTAGTTGCTTAAGCTCCCTAATAGCAGCGGACCACAACGGTGTCAAACCCTCCCAAATTTCGTCTCCAGTCTTTCGAGTTGCTCGCGCTTCAATGTCTGCATTTTGTTCGATTAACAGTTTCACAATATCAAGAAAACCAGAATCAGCAGCGGACAGCAAAGGTGTAAAACCCTCCCAAATCTCTTCTCCGGTCTTTATTGTTGCTCGAGCTTCAATGTCTGCATTTTGTTCGATCAACAGTTTCACAACATCAAGATGACCTCAATCAGCAGCGGACCACAACGGTGTCAAACCCTTCCAAATTTCGTCTCCAGTATTTCGAGTTGCTCGAGCTTCAATGTCTGCTTCTTGTTTGCTCAACAATTTCACAACGTCGAGATGACCCAAAAAGTACCTCACCATAAAGGTGTCAAACCCTCCCAAATTTCGTCTCCAGTCTTTATAGTTGCTCGAGCTTCGATGTCTGCTTCTTGTTTGATCAACACTTTCATAACGTCGAGATGACCCGAAAAAGCAGCGTACCACAAAGGTGTCAAACCCTCCCAAGTTTCGTCTCCAGTCTTTCGAGTTGCTCGCGCTTCAAAGTCTGCATTTTGTTCGATTAACAGTTTCACAACATCAAGATGACCTACAATAGCAGCGGACCACAACGGTGTCAAACCCTCCCAAATTTCGTCTCCAGTCTTTCGAGTTGCTCGCACTTCAATGTCTGCATTTTGTTCACAACATCAAGATGACCTGAATCAGCAGCGGAACACTACGGTGTCAAACCCTTCCAAATAGTATTTCGTCTCCAGTATTTCGAGTTGCTCGAGCTTCAATGTCAGCTTGTTTGCTCAACAATTTCACAACGTCGGATGACCCGAAAAAGCAGGGTACCACAAAGGTGTCAAACCTTCGAAAATTTCGTCTCCAGTCTTTCGAGTTGCTCGAACTTCTATTTCTACACTTTGTTTGAGTAACAGTTTCACAACATCAAGATAACCTGAAAAGGCAACGGACCACAAAGGTGTCAGACCTTCAAACATTTTGTTTCCAATCTTTCGATTTAATCGAGCTTCAATTTCTGCATTGTAGTGTAGAAGAATCCTTACGGAAGCCAGGTGTCCATGAGAAGCAGCGATGATGAGAGCAGTGGCGATGAGTTCGCCATCTTTTGTCTTTGTCTCCAAGGCTGTTTTTCTTTCTTCTGTGTTCAGATGATTTAAGATATATATCAGGTCAGAAAAACCGTCACGAGCAGCTTGATAAACTTTGGTTACACAATTAGTGGTGGATAGTTTATCAGCCATTTTACCAAACAGTACCAAACACAAATGCGAAACCTGTGGGTTTTAGGAAGATTCTCGCGGAAAACTGATGTACCGATATCAGAAAAATAACAAACAGCACCTTTTTGAGGTCATTATAAGCTATCAAGTTACGCAGACTAACAGATTCAATGTCACGCCACAATCACCGAAATCAAAACTGATGAATTAATTTGGATTGTTTTGCGGACCAAGTGGTCAGACAAAGGAATTGTGAGACTTGAGGGACGAATTGTGTTTATAAATGTATTTTTTATTTCTGTTTGATTTATCACGAAAGATATGCTATAAATACTGTCATAGTTGTTTTGAATTCACGAGTCACCGTGTCAAAGATTTCTCAGAATAACAGGAAATCATTCGCATTTTTTTGTAGAGCCGGGGTAGTTGCTCCGTAGGAGGAAGGGAGGGGAGGGGAGAGCTTTTTTTTTATGATTTTGATTGACAGGGAAATCACTATATAACTATCTTCGATATGAGAACATTTGCATTAGCAAACATGGCCTCGCCTCCTATAGGAGGCAGTAGCGATTTTACAGAGGATGTGTTTGGATGGACCAATTTTCGCTTACCTTCTCCACACTTTGAATCATTTGAAGCCTGTCGAAGTCATTATCTACATCTACATTTTATTAAAGTCTATCAAAGGGAAGGTTCATCACCAATAGACTATGTAATAATAAAATAGAGAACATTAAGAAAAGGGTTTATCTATGTACAATATTTGTAAAAAGATTAATCATTAATTAAGAAAGAAATAAATATATAGATAAAATAAAGTAAATGAATATTCCAATTTAAATATTTCTATTAATTGCTATTTTAAAAATTCTTCGAATTTTTTATGTCTAGAAAATGATTTGGTAATTCGTTCCAGTCTCTAATTGTTCTACAGTAAAAGGCATTTTTATATGCCTCTGTCTTGGATTGAAGTTCAATAAACTGATGTAATATTTTCTAGGACACTTTATGGTTCACCACTAAATTTTCTCCGGTTCTTATTGGTTTAAATCGATCACGTGACGCGATAGTGTTCATCCGTGGAGAGA